TCTTTTTTTATGAGATTGAACGCGTTATCGGTCGAGAGACGGAACAAAGAGACATTTATTTATTTATTTACTTATTTACTTATTTTTATTGACAAAAATGGAAAAAAAAGGAATGGAAAACTGAAGTAAAATAAAACGAAGGAAGACCTAAAGGGGAAAAAAAGTAAAAGACAAAGAAGAGAAATCAGAAGACATCAGAAAATGAAGACAAAAAAATATACTAAACGACGAAAGAAAATTAAGAAATAAAAAGATGAGAAGACAAAAGAAAAATCAAGACACCAAAAAGACAAAGGAAGACAGCCCAAAAGTCCTGGAGGATGAGTCGCGCCGCAGTCAATTTCCTCTGCTCGGGAATCTCTCTCCGGCGCTCTGCTCGGGCTGGCGATAAGGGGGAGATAGATAGGCCTATCAATCAAGCGGGAAGTAATCAAAGGAGCTTCGGTCCTCTCCTCTCTTTTTTCTTCTTGTTCGTCTTCTTTTTTCCTTTGTCTTTTTCTTGTTCGTCTTCCTTTTCTTCTTCTTCATCTTCTTCTTCTTCGTCTTCCTTTTCTTCTTCTTTTTTCTTTTTTTTCTTTCTTGTCTTTATTTTACTTCTTTTTTTGTTGCTGCCTTTCTTTTTTCTTCTATCCTGTCTTTTTTCCTTGTCATTTTCTTCTTCCTCTCGGTGATTGTTACCTTCTTCCTCGTCTTTATTTGATTTACTCTCTTCCATTTTTTCTATTTTTATCCTACCGATGATCGTAGTTGTTGACAGGTGTGTAATTCTCATATTCCATCCTCTTCGTTTTTCTTCTAGTTCAACCGTTTATTATTTATCTCCTCTCCTCTTTTTTTCCTTCTGATAAAGTTATTTCTTCCCTCCTTATGTCCCTTCTTTCTTCTTTCCTTTCGTTGCCCTCTTCGGTTATATTTCTCTCCTCTCCTTTACCGTTCTCTTTCCCCCTTTGTATTCCACTTTTATTCTCCTTTGCTTATTGTTCCCCTTCGTAGCCCACTCCTCTCTCTTTTCTCCTTTCTTTCTTTCTCTTCTCGTCCTCTTTGCCCACTTTTTTTCATATTATCTTCTCACTTTTTCCTTCCTCCGTCCCTTTATCACCCTCTCTTACATTTACTCTTCTGCTCTTTTTTTCCCCTCTTCCTCTCTTTCCTCTTTCAATCTTCGTTCTTTATTCCTTCTGTTTTTCTTCTGTCGTTTTCCTTCCTCCTTTTCCCTCCCTCCTTCCTGATTTCTCCCTCTTCATCCCTTTTCTCTCATTTTCGTGATCCGTCTCTTCTCTTTATCCTTCTCCCTTCCTCCCCTCTTTCTCCCCATTCCTTTCGCTCTCTTTTATCGTCTTTCTCTTCTCTTTATCCCTCTTCTCTATTCTTCCTTCGCCCCCCTTCCCTCTTCTTCCGTTCCTTTGCCCATCCCTTCTCCTTTCTTCATTCTTCCCTTTTTCTTTACCCTTCCCTTCTCCTTCTTTTATTCTTCCCTTTTCTGTGCCCTCTTTCTCTTCTTCGTTCTCCCTCCTCCCCTTTTCCTCTGCTTCCATTTACCCATTTCCCCTCCTCTCCTTTCCGCTTTTCTCCTTTTGTCTCCCCTTTCGCTTATCCTCTTCTCATCTCTCTTTTGCTCTCCTTTGCCCTTCTCCCCTCGTCTCCTCTCGTCTCCCCTCTTTTCTTCTACAATTCTCTTTCCACCTTTCTCTTTTGCGCCCGTCTCTCCTTTCTTTCCTCTTTGCCTTACCTTTATTTTTTTTTCCCTTTTGCTTTCCTTCCTTCTCACTCCCTTCGTTTGCCCTCCTCTTGTATTCAATTTCTTTTCCTTCCTCTCTCTCTCTCTCTCTTCCTTTTCATCCGCCTTCTCTCCTTACCCTCCCTTGCTTGTCCCTCCTTTATCATCCTTTCTCTCTCACCCTCCCTCATTTCTTCCTGTTTTATACCTCTGTCCTCCTCCTTTGGCCTCTTCCTTCCTTTTCTCTTTGCTTTTTTTTCTCCCCCCTCTTCTCCTCCATTCCTCCTCTCTCTTCTTCGGTCCCCTTTCCTCAGTCCTCCATTTCTCTCTCTTCTCTTCCTTTTCCCTTTTCCTCCATTCCTCCCCTCTCTTCTCCTCCATTCCTCCTCTTTCTTCTCCTCCATTCCTTCTCTATCTCCTCTATTCCTTCTCTATCTTCTCTTCCATTCCTTCTCTATCTTCTCTTCCATTCCTTCTCTATCTTCTCTTCCATTCCTTCTCTATCTTCTCTTCCATTCCTTCTCTATCTTCTCTTCCATTCCTTCTCTATCTTCTCTTCCATTCCTTCTCTATCTTCTCTTCCATTCCTTCTCTATCTTCTCTTCCATTCTTTCTCTATCTTCTCTTCCATTCCTTCTCTATCCTCTCTACCATTCCTTCTCTATCTTCTCTTCCATTCCTTCTCTATCCTCTCTACCATTCCTTCTCTATCTTCTCTTCCATTCCTTCTCTATCCTCTCTACCATTCCTCCTTCCTTTATCCTCCTTTCCCCCTCTTCCCCCACAAACAAGGACTCGCTGGCAAGAACCTTTTCCACCGACGAGTTGAAATTTTGTTTTCAAGCGTTGACCTGACTGGATGTTCGGATTAATGGTTCTATTCGTTAATTTCGAAGTGTTTTCTTCAGTCTCGGTTCCCATTCCCTTTATCGGTTTCTCTCTTATTCTTTTCTATTTTCTTTTTTCTGTCTCTGTGTGTATGTTTGTCTTTCTTTCTTTCTCTTATCTCTCTCTGTCTCTGTCTTTCTTTCTTTCTTTCATTCTTTCATTCTTTCATTCCTTCTCTGTTTCTCTTTCTCTTTCTTCCCCTTCCCTCCTTCCTTCTCCCCCTTTCCCTCCCTCCTTTCTTCTCCCCCTTTCCCTCCCTCCTTCCTTCCCCCCCTTTCCCTCCCTCCTCCCTCCTCCCCTCTCCCTCCCTATCTCCTTTCCTTCCTCCCTTCCTTCCACCTTCTTCCCACTCCCCTATTTTCTTCTGCCTTATCTCTTCCCTTTTCCGACATCAGGTGTTTTGACCTTTGACCCGGCGCCACCATGTCCACTCGCGGACCGGGGGGGGGGGGGGGGAGGTGACGCAGATCTCAAGACAGGAAATTTGTCATTATGCTCCCCGCCCGCCCGCCTTGCCTTGGGCGCGGGTGGAAGTTGGGCGGGCGGGCGGGCGGAGGGTGGGCGGGGTGGGTAGGTACAGGGTCGGTTTGCTCTACTCTGTTCTGTTCTGTTCTGTTCTGTTCCCTTCTGTTCATTTCTCTTCTATTCTATTCTATACTGTTCTGTTCTCTTCTTTTTTCTTCTCTTCTCTTTTTTCTTCTCTTCTGTTCCTTTCTCTTCTCTTCTCTTCTCTTGGCTCTTGTTCACTTCTCTTTTCTTCTCTTATTCACTTATCCTCCTTTGTCTTTGCTTCTCTGCTCTTCTCTTCTCTTTTATATTCCTTTCCTTCTTTCCTTTACTTTTCTTGTTTTTTTCTCTTATCTCTTCGTTTTTTTTCTTCTTTATCTTGAATCATCTTTCTTTTCTATCTCGTCTTTTCGTCACTCACTCGGTATCTCTTTTCATCCCCAGTTTTCCTTATCTTTTTCCTTTGTGTTCTCCTCTCTCTCTCTCTCTCTCTCTCTCTCTCTCTCTCTCTCTCTCTCTCTCTCTCTCTCTCTCTCTCTCTCTCTCTCTCTCTCTCTCTCTCTCCCTCTCTCCCTCTCTCTCTCTCTCTCTCTCTCTTCTCTCTCTCTCTCTCTCTCTCTCTCTCTCTCTCTCTCTCTCTCTCTCTCTCTCTCTCTCTCTCTCTCTCTCTCTCTCTCCCCCTCCCTATCTATCTATCTCCTTCACATTCACACTCATGCTCATACTTGTACTCATACACTCACTCACTCACGCACTCACTCACTCACAAAATCACGCACTCACTAACCCTCCTCACTCGCTCTAAAAATCACTCGCTCACAAAACTCACTCGCACTGCTTAATGTCGCCCCGCCTCCGTGCCAGTAAGCGCAGTTGCCCCGTGTTGCATCCCGTTGCATCCTCTTAGCATTCCTCGTCCGATTCTGCAACGCTGCGAGGAAGTTTCTGTTGCAATGTGCCCTTTCCTGCCGCACCTGCTGCTGTTGTAGCGAGGTCTTGCGAACAACCGTGGCAAGTTGCCGTCGGAAGTTGACTGTAAGTAGATCCTTTCCTTCGTCCAGCTCAGGGTAACGTCAGAAGGATGGGTACGGGGGGAGGGGAGAGGGAGGAGGGAGGATGGGGTGGGTGGAGGTATAGGAAGGAGGATGAGGTAGAGGAAGGGAGGGCGGACGGGCGGGGGGAGATGGAGGGAGGGAGAGGAAGGGCGAGGGAGGAAGGACGGGTGGGGGAGGAGGAGGAGGAGGAGGGGAGAGGGATGGGATGGGGAGGTGGAGGAGGGAGGACGGGGTGGGGGTTACAGGAGGGGAGGGGGAAGAGAGGAGGCAAGGGAAGGAGAGACGGGAGGAGAGGGAGAGAGAGAGAGGGGTGGGGGGGGAAAATATCCGAACTGGCAACCTTCCGCGGAAAATACCCAGCGTTGGCAACTCGAGGCGAGGTGACCGAGCAGAACAGCTGGGACCGCGATCAGCTGTTCTTGCTTGGTGCGAGGTGCTGGTCGTGCGCGCTGCCGAGGAATGGCCACCGCCAGACGCGCTGTGTTGGTCTCTCTCTTCTGAAATTGCTCTCGAGGAGGGTAATGGATGGGATTTTGGCGAATTGCGAAGAGATTGGCTGGCAGTGTGAAGGCGCTGGCGATCAAGTGATGTGCCGAAGAGGATGTTTTGTTATGTGAATCGTGTGTGGCGAGATTGATTTTCATCGTCAGAGAACCCACGGTGTGTGTGTGTAAGATAAACTTTAGATGAATGATATTTTGTATCGAAGGCCGAGAGAGAGAGAAAAAAAGTGTTACATATTGAAAATGAACGTTGATAGAGTGATGTGTATATACACCCATTCACACCGATGTCCTGGGAGTGTTTAAACAGCGTAACTCCTCTTGTGTTGCAGGTACGCACAAGCTAAACTGTCCCTCCACGTTTGAGATGAATACCACTACACAAGGTAACTTATGATTCCTACCAATCTTTCTAGTTTTTTTTTCGTAAATATGTTTTTTTCCATTTTGTAGCTTCACTTGGTTTAGTGTAGTTTTTTTTCTCTCTCCATTGAGTTGAAGCGAATTGTTTTCTCTTACTCTGTGTCTTCTCCACCTTCCCTCCCTCCCCTCCCTCCCTCCCCTTCCTTTTTCACCCCACCATTCTAACCCTCCAGCTGCTTGCTTGGACATCTGTCGGGAGGGCATCTGCCTGGTTGTTTAAATGGACACTTGTGCGTGTACTGAAACTGTACCCTCTCTGCGATGGCTGAATCAGCGGGTTATAAACAAGGCAGATATTCACATCTCAAAATAGATCCAAAACATTGATTTTTTTGGAGATTACTATGCTGTGAATATTTCTGTTGGGGTTGGATACTCTATGACTAACTTGAAAACCCCGTCCCTCCTTCCTTCCATATAAATGATGATGGTTATGATTATGAGAAATAAATAGATGAATAGGTAGAGAGACAGAGACGGAGACAGAGAGAAAAGGAAAGAAAGAAAGAGAAAGAGACATGATAAAGAAATCGATAGACCGATAAACAAATTAAGAAAAGCTAAAATAAAAAAAGGTAAATTCCACTTTTAGTACAGGATCAGCTGGCTTCCGAAGCGATAGGCGGTTGATTTGAGATTTCGTATCCTGTTAGCCCATCTTTGTGCTTTGTCTGTGAGCTCACGCCTGCTCCCCCCCCCTCCCCCAGGCCCTCACCCCTACCCTCTACCCCCGCCCCCTCTTCCTTTTTCCCATATGTGGACTGTTATTAAGGGTAGGGGGTGTCTTGGGTTATTTTGCGTTTGAGATGGTAATATTGTTGTTTATTTTTGTATTGATGTTTTTTTGTTTTTTGGTGTGATGGTTGTGTGATGTATTTATTGTTTGGAGTTGTTCGTATTGTTTTATTACTACTACTACCACTTCTATTTTTATTATTATAAAGGCAATTCCCCTATTCATTGTTTTGGATATTATTAGCGCTGCAGCCTTTGTTATTGAGATAGTCCACATTGATTCCGCTGTTAATATAAAACAACAAAAGCAAAGGCTATTGGAGGCACCAACACCGCCACAACAACAGCACGTGAAGCCCCACCAGCAGCGTCCCCAGCAGGTACGAACCCGAAAATATCTCGCGGTGCCCCTTCTCGACCGCGGCCAGATAGGTGCGGTGTTGTCATGAGATTCCCCCTCCCCCCCTCCCCCCTCCTCCTCCTTCCCCTCTCCCTCCCCTTCCCATTCCCCCCCCACCCTCCCACTCTTGACTCCTTCCCCCCCCCCCCTCATTTCCCTTTCCCATTTTCCCCTATATCCTGTTTTTGTTGTTTTCGTCATGTGTCTGTCTTGGTGTCTTTCCTGTGGTCTCTTCTCCCTCTTTCGTCATCTGCCCCCTCACCCCTCTTCACCTCCGCTTTCCTCTGTTCCTCTGTTCACCACTGTCTCTTCCCCTCCCCGTCCATCCACCCCCCCCCCCGCCTTATCCCTTCACCTGTCGTTTGACCTTCTTATCTCTCCCTACCTCATGCCCTCTTCTCCTGTCCCTTTCTCCCTATCTCTTCCCCTCGTTTCTGCCACCATGTCTCTTCTCTCTTCTCTTCTCTCCTCTTCACTCTTTGCTATGTTTCTCATCTTACTCTCCCTCCCTCTCCTCTTCCCCCTATTTCTTATCATTCCCCCTTCCCCCTCTCCCTTCCCCCTCCTCCCCTCTCCTCCCCTCTCCCCTCCCTCTCCCCTCCCTCTCCCCTCTCGGATCATGTTGTTTCGAGATGGTGTTTTGTTGGAGATGAAAAGGGAAGGGGTAGAGAGGGGAGGGAAAAGGAGGAAAGGAAGGTGGAGGAGAGGTGAGAGGAGGGAAAAAGGAAGGGGATAGGGAACAAGTAAGGGGAAGTAAGAGAAAGGATGGGGAGGGGAAGGGGAGAGGGAGAGGGAGAGGGAGAGGGAAGGAAAGTGGAGGAGAGGTTAGAGCAGGGAAAAGGAAGGGGAGGGGGGGCAGGGGTGAAAAGAAATAGGGGAGGGGAAGGGAGGGGAGGAGAGGAGAGGTGAGAGGAGGAAAAAGGAAGGGGAGGAGGAACAGGGGTGAGGGAAAGTAAGGGAAGGGAAGGGGGAGAGAGAGAGAGGAGGGAAAAGGAAGGGGAAGGAGATGGAGAAGGATAGGCGAGAAAGGGGAGTTCAGGAGAAGGGAAAAGGAGTGTGAGTGGGATATATAAGGGGAGAGGAGTGAAGAGGGAAGGAGAGGGAGAGGGAGATCCAGTTAGAGGGGGGGGGTAGGTTAGTAATAGGGCGAGGAGAGGGCACGTGCAAGGGAGCTGGTGAGGGAGATAGTGACGTTGATTTTGAAGTTCCTCTCTCCCTGACATCGAGGAAGCGAAAGGTTGATGTGTGTGTGTGTGTGTGTGTATGTATGTGTATGTGTGTGTGTGCGTGTGAGTGAGTGTGCGTGCGTGTGTGTGTGCGTGCGTGTG